TCAGTCTTCACCCCCCCCCTCTCAGATTTACTCATACCAAAGACGAATATCCCAAAAGCCCAAACATTACTCACCATTACTCATCCAACACACTTCGCACCCACCAATCTACTCAGAACATTGCTCACTAACTCACCCACTCAGAACTCATAAGGAACCCAGTCATTACTCATCCAACACCTTGTAAGCTAATCTTTTCCCCCGCGCGCTCACTCACTCTTAAACCTCAACCATTTACTCACCTCAACTCATTACTCACCCTTACTCGTCCTCACTCACCCAACACCCTGCACCTAAGCCCTTCCATTCATCACCGCTCATCCAACTCCCACAAAATCCAGCTTTTGCTCACCATTACCCACAACTACCCACTAGTACTGACCATTACCCACAACTACCCACTAGTACTCACCATTACCTACAACTACCAACTAATACTCACCATTACCCACAACTACCAACTAATACTCACCATTACCCACAACTACCCACTAGTACTTACCATTACTCATCATCACCTACCACTACCCACTTTTACCCCCCCCCCCCCCCCGCACCCAGCACCCCGCACCCAAGGCCACGTACTCACCAGCTGATCGAAGACGGGCGCGTTGTCATTGACGTCCTCCACAATCACCTTGAAGGAACAGGAATCCTGGAGCGCTTCTATGGCTCCGTCGCGGGCGATTACCGTCAGGAGAAAATCCTTGTCTCCTTTGTCTCTGTCGAGTCTCTGTCGAGAGAGAGAGAAGAGGAGGAGGTGAGGGAGGGAGGAGATGAGGGAGGGAGGGAGTTACTTCCTTTTCACAGAATGGACGAAGTAGATAGATAGATGTAAAGATTGGCAAATAGATAGTAAAAATGTACATAAAATAGATGTGGAGCTTAGTGTATAATCTGGCAGGCACACACACACACACACACACACACACACACACACACACACACACACACACACACACACACACACACACACACACACACACACACATACACACACACACACACACACACACACACACACACACACACACATACACACACACACACACATACACACACACACACACACACACACACACACACACACACACACACACACACACACACACACACACACACACACACACACACACACACATATATATGCGTATGAATGCATATGTGCGTATGTGTCTCCATATATACATAGAAACACATCAAAACAAGAAAAAAAAAAAACTAGAAAAAAAAATAATGATAATATTGAAAAGATAAAAGGAAAACAGTACCCTCTCCCTTACCCGCGTGGTGGTGACCTGGCCCTGCTGGCTCGAGGAGTGGATGGCGAAACTGCCGAAGTCGTTGATGAGAGAATAAGACACGATGCCGTTCTTCCCCACGTCGTTGTCCTTGGCCAGAACCTTTGGGAAGGAAGGAGCGATTGGGATTAGGGATGATTAGGGATTACGTATGTATTTTCTGTGCGTCGGTGATTACGTATGTATTTTCTGTGCGTCGGTGATTACGTATGTATTTTCTGTGCGTCGGTGATTACGTATGTATTTTCTGTGCGTCGGTGATTTCGTATGTATTTTCTGTGCGTCGGTGATTACGTAAGTATTTTTTGTGCGTCGGTGATTACATATGTATTTTCTGTGCGTCGGTAAGGTTCTGTGGCTATTGTATGTGTGTGTCTGCGTGTCTTGGCGAACTTACCAGGACAACCGGAGATCCTGCTGTCATGTTCTCCTTCACGTGGATCTGGTCATAGGCCGTGCACTCCGGAAACACGGGCTTGTGGCGGTTCTCTTCTGGGGGTGAAAAGAGGTCGTCCTTATAGCGTCGGATAAATATGTATAATTGTATTTGCTTGTATGTGTGTGCTTGTATGTTTGTATGCATATGTATGTATGTGTGTATGTATGTGTATGTATGTATGTATGTGTGTGTGTGTATGTGTATGTATGTATGTATGTGTGTGTATGTATGGATGTATGTGTGTATGCATGTATGTAAGTGTGTGTGTATGTATGTATGTATGTATGTGTGTGTGTGCGTGTGTGTGTACGTGCGCATGAATTCATAGATGAATATAAATAATACATTTATATGAACAAATCAGCCTATCGAATTCCCTCTACGCGGCTCCGCAAAACTGTCATCAAATAAAACATTTCCCTTCCCTGAACATCCTATAGATATTCTTAAACACTTCCAAGATAAATTGTTCTCTCTCCCATTCTCTCTCTCCCCTCCCTCACTCCCTCCCTCTCTCCCTCTCTCTTTCTCCCCCACTCCCTCTCCCCCACTCCCTCTCCCTATCCCTTTCTCTCCCTCTCCCTCTCCCTCTCTCTCTCCATCTCCCTCTCCCTCTCCCTCTCCCTCTCCCTCTCCCTCTTCCTCTTCCTCTTCCTCTTCCTCTTCCTCTCCCTCTCCCTCTTCCTCTTCCTCTCCCTCTCTCTCCCTCTCTCTCTCCCTCTCCCTCTCCCTCTTCCTCTTCCTCTTCCTCTCCCTCTCC